CAGACTTGTAAAAATAGCTAAATGAATGCCACTCAAAATGGCCTGTCTCTCCACTAACCAGAGAAAAAATCCTAAATTAAGAAAGATTAATCTGACCATTAAAGCTAAACAAGATTAATGCCACTTATGTGACTGACTGCGACTAAAAAATATGATGGAATGCGTGTAGGCAAAAACTTTTGAAAAGACACCATGATCCAACAGTAAGTTCTCTGTGCTCTGAAGCACTTCGTACAAGATGTGAGCTGACTAATACTTGTGTTTTTAAAAAGTAGTTTTAAACTATCTACAATTTGTTAAGAGCTTTTTGTCAAGTTTTTCTGATACTTCATCTAGAAGAGAAATGTCAGAGGGAAGTATCAGAGCATGGCAATGAAACAGGAGACAAATGAGGACATTATAGCAGGAAATATACTAATCTTAAGAGTGACACAAAGGTGCCCTGTGATTGAAATATTGCACTTTTCTTTTTTCTGCTACTCCTGAAGCCTCTGAGAAATCCTGCAGCAGTATCCATGAGATCAAGCTGGGAGCAGACTCTCAGCTCCCAACCCAATGGAGAATTTCCACAGCAGTGGAGTCACCCTGTCTAGTATCTAGACTGCATCTAGCAAAGGTCACTAGGAAGAGATTAAAAACTCTGCTTATTCCCACAAAACACACTCAGCTGTGCCTCTGATATTCAAGATCAGGGGATATATGAGGTTTAAATAGTACAGGTAAGCACAAGTTTCTGTCAGAAGGACACCCAGGTGAGAAGGTCCTCCTACACTCTGGCTGGGTCTTCCATTTAGTCAAGTGAGGGACTAACTACAACACAGCACATACACAGAAACCTTTGCCTGAAAGAAACCCTTAAGTCTGGGCCAAATTCCAATGCTGGGGACATTATCAGAGCTCCAAAACAGTAAGCTTCATTTGATTTCATCCTTTATTCTGCATGTGCACGTTGTGCAAGTGTGAGCATGGTTAGGTTTGTCAAGATGTCATAGGGAAGAGATGATGGATTCCCAGCAAGTGACAGGTTGTTCTGTAGATACCTCTCATACCTGACCTCACAGTCTTGCCTTTTGTCTTGCAGCACTGAGCATTGCATCACCATTTGACAGCATCTACCTTGGCTTACACAATTACAACTGCGCACTCGCGTGCATTGCGATTGGGGGCATGTTCTATGCCCTGACCTGGCAGACTCATGTGCTGTCGCTTGCCTGTGGTACGTATCATTTACAAAAAGTGAAGACAAAAACTTTTGCAGCTTGGCAGTCTATGAGTAGTACAGGTTTAGAGCCAACCACCACTCTGCTGCAAAGACAGGCTGAGAGAATTGGGGTTGTTCAGCTTGGAGAAGAGAAGACTCCAGAGGGACCTTACAGCAGCCTTCTAGGACCTGAAGGGGCTACAGGAAAGCTGGGGAGGGACTTTTTACCAGGGCATAGAGTGAGAGGATGAGGAGGAATGGTTTTAAACTGAAAGGGGTAGATTCAGACAAGACATTAGGAAGAAATCCTTCCCTGTGAGATGGTGAGACCCTGGCCCAGGTTGCCCAGAGAAGCTGTGGGTGCCCCCTCCCTGGCAGTGCCCAAGACCAGGTTGGACGGGGCCTGAGGCAGCCTGGGCTGGTGGAGGTGTCCCTGCTCCTGGGGGTTGGACTGGGGGTCTTTAAGGCCCCTTCCCACCCAAATTGTCCTACAATTCTGTCATCAATGTTCAGCTTGAATGTCCAAGCTTCAAGTGCAGAGAGAAGGGCCTTTCAGCCCTTATAACACAAAAACCACTAGGAAGGGTGGAAGTACTGTTTGTGAAAGGAGCACAAGCTATGCCCTGAGCAGAAGTTTAACAAATTAGCAACTCAACAGATTCATAGAAGCGGCTTTTTCATAACAATATGTATTATAAAGGAAGTGTGTCGTAAGAAGAGAGCTTTTGCACAAGGTCAGTTTAAAATGCATCTGCCCAAAGACCCCATCTCCAACCACAGCCAAAACCAGGCTCTATGAGAAGAGTTAAAGACAGCACAGCATATATAAAATTCCCCTGAAGAGTTACCCAGCCTTCAACCATTTGCATTTCAGTAGTTTTCTGTCCTGACCACAGGTTCTGGATTGCTCAATAGCTTTCCCTTCCTTGACTTTATCCTTTGGGTGCCACATCTCCTGCTTTGCCACTTCTGACATCCTGGGACCAGGAGGCCACTACTGACAGAGCAGACCCTGGTGGGGAATTTCTGTAATCCCCCACTGCACACAGGTCAAGTTGTGCCAGAGAAACACCCAGATCACCTATTCTTGATGTTCTTCCCTCACCAGTCATCTCTACAGAGCAGATAGGACCAAATCTAGTCCATACAGCCAGATGTAGCACTAGTGCATTTTAACTAATTGTTGAATTCTAACATTAATCTTCACGTTTTGTAGCTAGGAGAACATTTTACTGTGCATTTGGATAATATTACTATCTCTGATAATTTCTTTGGAGCAATGCACAGTATTTCCCTCATCTTGAGCTGTCTTTGGTCTTCTTTTCTCAGCATTATTTTGTGCCTATTCTGGAGCAGCTCTTGCTAATGCCCTATCTGTGGTAAGTTTGGGGGAGGTGGTTAATAGGATTTTTTTGTTTGTTTTAACTGTATTTTGATTTGTTATTATACAACGTCCAGGAAATGCCTTTAAACTCTCCATGTCAGTTTTGACACCATTGAAACGGGAATGCTGCACCCAATCGCAGGTCCTGCACAGATTCTCTGTCAGTTGAATCATGCCCTTGCAGACTCCAGAACTGATAATAAGATTTCAAAGACCTTCGGAGCAGGTTATCCACAGCGGGACTGTGCATGCATATGTGAATTCCAACAACTGTGTACGATGTGAGATGCAACACTTAGTTGCAGGCAATATTTTTTTAACAATTTCCAATGGTCTATTTATTTTCCTTACTTCTTCTGAGATCTTTATCTCATTTAAGTTTGATCTGGATATAAGAAATAGAATTACAGGGGAGACTGTCCTTTTAAATACAAAATCATCATACCTGTACAGATCAAGAAAGAGGTGAAGGCAGAAATGCCAAGCTTTGTTTCTTCTTTAAGATCTGAGAGGTTAAAGCAAAAACATATTTTAATAAAATTGATTCAGTAAGTTAAAAGAAAAACAAAAATAGAACTAACAGCTTCCTACATTAAATTAATTCATCTGGAATCCACTCAATATTGTGTAGGTCCCTGCAAACGGATTGTTTTCTTAAGCACCGCTGCTTTTGGGGTGCACCAGAAAAAAAGAACATTTACTTTTCCTCCTCTGGATCTGAAATGGGGATGGTGTATGGGGGGATTCAGGAAGGCATGTGCTGTGCCACAGCACCAGGCAGAAGTGGGCAAAGGGAACATGCAAAAAGAGGTACGAAAAAGCACCTGTTTGTCTGTCCTTTCCCCTTCAAGCTTGGGCTGCCGCTCTGCACCTGGTCTTTTTGCTTCTCCGCGCTTCTCTTTCTGCTGATAAACTCAGACAACCCAGCCATCTACAAAATCCCCCTGAGCAAAGTCACCTACCCAGAAGCCAACCGGCTCTACTACCTGAGAATGAAGAGAAGAGCATCAGAGATCAGGAGAGAAGAGCAGAAACAAATGGAGCAGAAACCCTCCGGTGACTCAAAGATAAACACAGGAGGCACCCCCCTGTGCACCCCCAAAAACCGCCATGCTTACTGATTTCAAATACCCACTGCTGCACAATTTTGGGGCAGTTTCACAGATGTTAGCCAAGGACATCATAGCCACCAACACCACCTTTGGCAGCTGGAGATTCAACATCCTACACTTCAGAGGAAACAATTTGCCCTTGAATTAAGCTTTTGAAAAAGCACTCAGGTAACGTAATAACAGCTGCCTTATCAATCCACATGCTGTTAACTTGAATGTCACCTCTTATCCATAATAATTGTAAGAATAGGTGTAAGAACATGAATGCTGACAAGAGGCTGTATTTAATTTCAGATATGCAATTTAACAAAATAAATATGCTGAGAAGGACTTGGTATCTAATAATAATAAATAATGTAAGAACTACGTCAAGAGCTGCCCTTCAAATTAAGAACATGTGTATTTGAAAGTGGAATAAACAGAGTGATCTCTTCCTTTCTGTGTCCCATCAATGTCTGACTCTCTTAATCTCTTCAGCATACACGGGTAAATATTCTTACAGATTGCATACTATTTTTGGTGCCATCTCCTGACTCTTCGTTAAGCACCAAGGCAATGAAGGTATGAATACATATGCTTTAATCAGACTAGAAAAGTGACTAGCTAGCAGTGATCAAACATTTTTCTTTTCCTTGTGCAATTTTCTGTCTTACAAATAGAAGGTGTCTCTCCTGCCAGTATTCTCCTGAGTGGTTGGTTTCTAACTGGCATAAAGTGCAAGGAGGACGCTGCCACTTTATGTCTTCTCCAGGTCCTTATAACAGGGAGTTCCCCTAAAGAGGACTTTTCTTGGCAATCTTTTCCAAAATGTCTGCAAAACAAGGCTTCCTTGTTCTAAAGTAATTTCACATGATCAGTTTAAAATCACAGTCCAAAAGAACTTGGAGATTTAAAATACAAAGAGACTGTGCAACCACAGACATTCAGATCAGACGCTGTCCTTTCTGCCTCATGACGTGGGACTGTCTTGCACATCCATTTCTGGGTCTTTGAGCAGGTGGGAGCCCAGCTCTCACCCAGTACCTGGACCTTTTTAAAAAGGTGAGCCTAGGTGCTGCTCATCTTTGTAGTGCAGAGCCACAAAGATGCTGGAGAGAGTGGACCATCTCTCTTATGAAGAGCAGCTGAGGGAGCTGGGGCTCTTGAGCTTGGAGCAGAGGAGACTGAGGGGTGCCCTCATTCCTGGGTCTCCATTTGGAAAGGGTGAGTGTCAGGAGGAAGGAGCCAGGCTCTGCTCTGGGATGGCCAATGCCAGGACAAGAGGCAATGGTCCCAAGCTGGAGCACAGGAGGTTCAAGCTGAAGATGAGGCCAAAGTTTGTGAGTGTGAGGGTTCTGGAGCATGGCCCAGGCTGCCCAGAGAGGTTGTGGAGTGTCCTTGTGTGGAGACACCCAAAGCCCTGGCCGTGTTCCTGTGTGACTGCTCTGGTGATCCTGCTGTGGCAGGGGTTGCACTGGGGGACCTTTCGAGGTCCCTTCCCACTCCTCATATTCTGTGATTCATGGGACCATTTGTGCCTTTATAAGCAAAAGACCAGCAGCACCAGCACCTCCCAACTCCACTAGACATCCCTAGGAAGGAGCATCCAAGATTGAAGTCAGCCTGGCAGACAAAAATATGGTGCCATATAACTACGTTAAGATGCTTTTTGAAACAGGTCAGGCCATTCCAGGGACTATAGTAAAATTTAGGTCCTATTTCCTCTCCCTGATGATAGATTTGAGATGCTACCTGGCATGACATCCTCATACATGCAGATAAGTCCAAATTTCAGTAGCCAAGATAAACCTGTTATTGAAAATTTAGGGATCCAGAAAGTATTGTACCCATTATAACTTGGTCCACCCTCAGACTTGAGCACCTGTGTCCCATTTTAGACCTGAGGATGACCTCTGAACCTTACAAATGCCCTCCAGGGAAGAACCAAGGGAATGAGATGACGTGTCCGCCTGCCACAAGTCTTCTTGGAGATTAATAAAAGACCCAGAATCTCCCTGACATGCTAGCCATGAGACTTTTGTTGGCCCAGGGCAAGCTAAGAGGGATGGCCATAAGCACAGCTCAATACCTGACCTACCTCTGTGAGAGGGAAGAAGATCCGACAGATGCACAACTGCAGCAAGCAATGGAGAAACAGAGGCAGAACAACACATGAGGTGATACAAAGCTGCCCAGATACCTTCCCTCTATAGCAGTCACTGAAATATAAAGCATATCTAAGCTAGCAGGACCCCTTTATCTGCTCTGTACTGTTTAATTTAGCTCATACACAATCCAGCATTAGAGATAGATTTGAACAGTAGCAACACAAAGTCTCAAAAATACTATAATAGAATTTCTTTAAATAACGCTAGAACCATATTTTTTTTAAAAAACCCAACTCAGCTGTGGTTAGTCATGCCAAGCATATTATTTGTTTTCTTAAAAATAAGTCCAAGCACAATATGGCTATTGGAGAGAATTTGTCATGTAAGAGCCATTGCAGACATTAATTCCTCAGCCACAAGCAAATCCATCCTGAAATCAATTAGTAAAGCAATTTCTAGAGCTGAAGCCATCCATAAAAAATAGTGTATAAACAGCTTTATTAAGTCTCTAGCTAATCAAAAGATTTGAGAAACTATAGCCAGTGCTAATAATTCTTGAAAACAACCAAGACAAATCAAGTGTCGCCTGGAAGGGAGCAGTAGACAATAAAAGCACTAACTGAAGTTATCCATGGTAGCCCCAGTAATCTGCTGTCTATTGAGTTCTATATAAAAATTTCATTAAGAGAAAGAAAATGTGCAGTTTTCAATGGGACTTGTAATTTTTAGCCAGTGCCCAGAGATCTAACCTAAAACTAATGTGCCCATAAGAAAACAAAAAAGCTTAAAAAACAAAAGCCTCTTCTACAGCTAGGGTGGTCACTCCACCCAGCCCACCTCCACAGAAAATGAAGTAAATATTCTTGTACAATTCAATGCCTGGCCTAGCAGTTGCACATGTATACATATATATATGGGAGCAGGCTAAGCAGCATGAAGGAATTGCAGGAGACTGTCCCAGTGAAGAGAGAAGGACATCTAGTCTCTTGTAACTGGAGTCCAATGTAAAAACACTACACATACAATGTGGTTCTAAAACAATTTCTTACTTTATTGCTCAAAATATAATTTTTCCTACTCTTCTATTTGCTCCTTACCCCCTAAATAAAACCAAAACCAACCAACCTTGCCCTTTGAGAGGACGTTCCCAGCTCCTCTCATACAGACATAGGTGCTTCTGTGGGTAAGATCAGTCCCAGGGGCTCCTATAGAAAAAGCTGAGGCAAGTGCTTTAGATGTCCTGGCTTGTGTACTGCTGATTCCAGAATGACTTACCTGTTAATTACTTTTCATGAATTCAGAGCAAAGCTGCTCTGAGTGAATGTGGAGGGAAAGGATTCTCCTTCTCAGTGGACATCAGTCATAGCAGAGGTCAGAGCCACACTGCCATCCTCACTGGAGCATCCAAGTTGCTGGAACGTGGTGTTTACCACCCAATTCCTTCATCTGATGACCTTTTTTGAGACCAAACAACCCCCTCACGTACTACTGGGGTTCAGAGCAGACAGAAACTGCAGGACAAAGGGAGGTCTCTATGGGAGATGGGGACACCTCAGCCCACAGAGGACAGATCCTCGTCCCAGCTCCCAGGCAGCCAGCCAGCACCCTGGCAGCCACCAGCAAATATCACGAAGGGATTTATGCTCCAGCAGGTTACTCCAGCAACACAGGGCCTCACCGCTAGCTGAAAGACCCAAAACTTTACAGCACTGCCAAACAAGATAAGATCCTAACATTTCCAGATGCTGAAAAGCTGCTCTGTGCTTCGTCCATGCCAGATATCTCTGCTCTGCGATGACAGACATATTCCCCAATACTCATTTTTTTTGTAGACCGCATTGGCCAGGGTTACAGAAATGCCACCTCTTTGAGGGTGAGATCTGTTTGCCAAACACTGCCCTCTCATTCCCCCTTTCAACAGAAGGGTCTGCTTTGATTTGGAAGGTGGAAGGAGTTCAAACAGGAAACAAACTCTAGATTGTAGCTGATTTTAATGTTCTCAGGGGGTCTTTAACAAACTCCTGCAGCTGTTGCCACAGCTGGAATTCACACATCCCAGTGGCGGGATGAGAAGACCAGGGATAGCTCTGTGGGAAGCAAAGGTTTCTTCCACCAAATTTCCCTGGGAATCAGTTTGGGGGCCTCTGACTACAGCTCAGCAGCTCCTGAGTGCAATTATCCTGGTGCATTTGGTAGCTTAAGCTGTCATGGAGCTGCCTCCTCACATTTGATGATCTGGGGTCTTTTTTTCCCCTCACTCCGGGGTACCCCAGCCTGTACCTGACCTGCTTTTCTGCATGTCCCTCGTTTCAGCTGAGTGCTGACAGCTCTGCTGCTCTGTCATCCACAAATCTCTGCTCTGCAAAACCACTTAGCCAGAAACCAGGCAGCGACTTCCTGGCTGTGGAGGAAACCAGAAAGTCAAAGATGATGACAAACTATCAGCCAACGATGGTTTCTTACTGTAGCTGAGGGAGTTTATTTCACTTGTGTAAATTAAATCCTGTTTAGGACATTTTCTGTTTCCAGAAATTGAGTTATCCAGCAGCATGACGCTCTTTTTTCTTTTGTCTACTAGAAAATGTGGGTCTTTCCAGCAAATGGATTCATGTCTGCTTGTGTGTGTGTGGATAAAATGTTGCTCTGTAGTACTGCTTACAAAACCCCAGGAGCATCTGCGGTCCTTGTAAGTCTACCAGTGTAACTGATTATCAATATTCATTAGTTCCTGCTGGTTCAGTTCTGGATGCTACCAGTCCTCTTTCTCTTGATCAGAGCTGCCACCCATGCTATGTACATCACCTCCCACTTCTATTACTAACTACTTGGCCAGAAAACAGTAAACACTGGGATTTATACACTGAAAGAGTCTCTTGTTGGAACTATTACAGTATCCTGCTCTTTGCTA